GGCGTACTGGTTCAAGTACTGGGCTGCCACATGGCCAACCACTGTCTGAGTTCTGGTCCTGGCGGCTTGCTTTCTCACTTTCCCTCTCTCTGTCTCTCTCTCTGTTTCTCTCTGATGATAACACATGCTCTATAGCAAATTTTAAAAGTAGTAATAATAAATGAAATAAATAATTTTTCAAAACACACACATACACACATTTAACATTCTCCAAAAATAACAGAAATTGCAAAGTTCTCTGAGTGCTGGGCCTCAACCAAAGGCTGCAGTGTACTGCAGCCTTGCTGTCCCGTCCCTTCCCCAGTCGGGCACCCTGAAAGGTGAGCGGATACACCTGCAGGTGCCTGAGCGGCTGCTAAGCCCTCTCTCCTCTGAGAGGGAAGTCCAAGGTCTCGGCTGCGAGCTCACAGCCTCAATCGCCTTCCCAAGTCCTCCTTCTGAAATGAACATGGAATTGTGGCTGAAAACCAAGCTCGGCTAGTCTGGGAGTCCTGTGGCCCCTAACCTCCTCTCATGGTTTCTAACACTCAGAAAGTCCGTGCTCTCATTTTAGTAGTAGACCGGGCTTTTCCGCCAAAGCCGCTCACACCCGAGCTTCTGGGATTCTCTGTAATGTGCCCGAGGGACCACAGGCCACCGCGGCCCCTTGGCCTGGACACTGCTTCCTTCACAGTGAGCCCAATGAGCCTGTAAGACTTTCAAACGAGAACTCAGAGTCACCCTGGATCATTGCTGATTACTTGAAAGGGCACAAAATCAATCTGAGAATAAATGAAATCGCAATGAAAGCATCGGAAGCAGTAACATAAACATTGCAGCGATGTCAGGTTCAGTGTGCTTCCATGCGCTCATCTGGCCACTATGGATTTCCGATCTGCTCAGACCTGGATGTAAATGAAGACAAAGCTGGCGGAGATGAGCCGGAGCAGCAGCAGCGATGCCGGAATACGGGAGTGTACGGTAGGAACATGCAAGACCTGGTGGGGACGCAGGTGTTCTGCTGCACAGGAGGAGTAAGCAGGGGCGCCCGTTCTGACGCTGGGTGGGAACAGTACATCCTGATGGAACCTCCCCTGCTCCCCACGGTGTCACACCTCAGACCACACGACAGGTCTGTCCAGAGTTACCTTCTAACAATACTGTGCTCTGTCGGGTGGACAGGGGCACTGCCGCAGAGGGTTCTTTTTACTTTTTTGGGAAAGATTTTTGCTGTAGGTTATATGTGCTCCCTGAGAGACAGACAGAAAGTGAGAAATCACCCCCAGGGGGGATGGCCATGCCACAGTCCCTTCTCCTCCATCCTCCTCTCGGGATTTGGGGCACACACACACGTGTGCCAGTGTGATTTTTAAGCCGCTGGGTCCAGGACTCAAACTCTGGCCGGCCATGTGGGATCCAGCGCCTTAACCACATGCCACCTGCTGGCCCCACAGCACTGTTCCTTAGGACTATATTCAACTCACTAGACAGACCTTTACTGAACCCCTTCTCCCAAGTACCCACCATTGCTACAGACACAGAGACATGAGAAGCCGGGTCCTGGTACGGAGAAACTCACCCAAGAGGAGTTAAACAGGCAAACGACCTGCTCTCTGTGACAATGATAATCCAGGAACATGACACATTACGATGATAAAAACGAAGCACTTGTTTAGCTTGGGGGAGGATCGCTCTCTCAAAGAGAACAAATGGGAAGTTTGGAGGAATGAGCAGTGTTTTGTTTTAAAAAACAAGAGTTAAAAGCATTTTACTTTTTAAAAAGAATTATTTATTTTAATTTTGTTTATTTATTCATTTATCTATTTTTGATTTGACCAGACAGAGACACAGAGAGAGAGTTAGAGAGAGGGAGAAAATGAGAAAGCAAGCCACCAGGTCTGGGACTTGAACCACGGTCAGCCATGTGGGAGTGTCCAGTGCCTTAACCACCATGCCACCTGCTGGTCCTAAAAGCATTTTACTCTGAGAGAAAAATAAGACCGCACACACCAGGAGAAGTGACTATATAGAAGGTCCTACTATGGGCCGCGGTACTTAAGGTATCCTCTGTATTATCCAAGAATCCACGAGACCAGGAAGGGCCCAAGGGACCTACTGAGAACCTGAACTGAATCCACAGCAATAGAAAGTAGTATGATTTTTAAAGTAGAAAACTGAAAATCCTTGTGTTTCAGATAAAGAAGAGTCTACTACGAGGAAGAAAATGAAAGGGATGGTCTCCTTGACTGGCTGGAAGGTTCCGGCCTGGGCCTAACCTGACAGAGGCTGAGCCCAAACAGGACAGTGACGACGGTGCAGGAGGGGAGAGGAAGGAGAGAGAACAATCCGCCGTCTCATAAACCGAGTCCAGTAGATGGCTGTATCTGTGCTCTCTCCCACACTTCCACTCTCGAGACCGCTACATTTCCAAATGACAGCTCACGTGATAGGACTGCGTGCACAGCACTGCTGTAGGGTACGTGGTCAACGTGAAGTTCCTGTTCGTCTGTCTGCTTTTAGGCTTTTGCCATAGGGCACATGTGCTCATCGGAGAGAGACAGTCAGGGGGTTAGTGAGAAACAGCCCACCAGGGGGATGGCCTCACCACAATCCCTGCCCCATTCTCCTCCCAGGATTTTGGTCACGTACTCACACGTGCCCAGTGTGATTTTTAAGCCACTGGGACCAGAACTCAAACTGTGGTCGGCCATGTGGGAGTCCAGAGTCTTCACCATCACGCCACCGGCTGCCCCGATGTTTGTAAACTGTGCTGTGTGAGTTGAAAATTGCTAAATCCAGGCAATGGGTCCTGAGTGTTCACTATAATCTGTACTTTAATGTATGTTTAAAATTCTCCATAACACATTTTTAATGTATATTCTTACTGTAAATGGTTTAAGTAGAGTTACATAACAATGTATATATAATTCAGAGACTACTGAAATTGAAAATTGCCATTTTCTAGATTAAGCATTTATAATCAGATCTTCTCATCAATTCGTGTCCATAGGCTTCTTTTTTTGGAGAGGTTTTTGTTATAGGGTGTGTGAGCTCGCCAGAAAGAGAGAGACACAGAGACAGAAAGCAAGAAATCACCCCCCAGGGGGGATGGCCACGCCACAATCCCTTCTCCATTCTCCTCTCAGGATCTTGGGCACCCACGCACACGTGCCCAGCGTGAGTTTTAAGCCACCGGGTCCGGGACTCGAATCACGGTCAACTACATGGGAGTCCAGCGACATAGCCATTATGCTAACTGCTGGTCCCAATTCATGTCCATAAGTTTCTGTGATTATTTTTTTAAGGTTTTAGTCATAAGGCATGTGTGCTCACTCACCAGAGACAAAGAGAGACAGTGAGAAGAATAGTGAGAAATCACTCCCCAGGGGGGATAGTCACAATCCCTTCTCCTCCATTCTTCTAGGATTTTGGGCACACACACACACACACACACACACACACACACACACACATGCCCAGTGTGATTTTAAGCTGCCAGATCAGGGCCTCGAACTCAAGGGCTTGAACTCCTGGTCAGCCAGGAGGACATAGCCACTACACCACTGTCTGGCCCCTGTTAACACCTACTCTGACTTCCCTCCTCCCCTAGGTTGGCATCCCTCCTGTCTTCTGGGTTTTTGGTCCTTTCTCCTGAAGTGTACCAGGGACGATCCCAAGCCAGTATCCCTGCACCTGACTCTTCTCTTGGCCACTCCACGGCTTTGGGCCTCAGGCGAGCGGCCAACCCCCTAAGTGTCGAACTGGCAGTAAGCGTCAACCCCTAGTCCCGCCATACGGGGAACAAACGAGCTTTAACTGAACCGTCTTCAAGCCCGTCACTCCCTTCTATGCCATAGCGTTTTCCCTCCCTTCAACTCGGAGTAGCCTGACTCCCTAAAGCCACAGCCACAGGTGAAACTGCCCTCTTACAGGCCAGGCTGTTTCCGGATCTCTCAGTGATCCCTGAATCCTGCCTACGTTCTTGCGTTGCTGGCAAAGTCATGATGTATTTTTGCAGAGAAAACCACAGAAAACTACGTCATGACTTTCCCAACGACCTAATATTTGACATAATCATTCTATTCTACACCCTCTTTCCCCTAAGGCTATCATCTGGTTTTTTGGCTTCATTTTTTACCCTCATATGGATGATGTGAGCACCTGTACTTCTAGCCTCCACTTCTCGTGAGTCTCAAAAAGGATTTGCAGAGACTAATCAAGCGATCCCATGTGAGAAGGTGATCGCTATCTCGAGCTTTCTGCACACCTTTCATTCTCTCTCCTACCCAGCAACATTCCTGGGGGCTTCACCCAAGTGAATGCAACCCCACCTTTCCTAACACCCTCAGGCATCTTTAATCCTTAATTTTCACTCGGAATGGTGATACTATTCCTGTTTAATTGCATCTCAACTTCTACTGATTCTTTGTCTTTGTTTCTCGTACTTCCTTCTGCGGCCACGGCCCAGGAGTTCCTCCAGCCTGCACTAGATGCACGATAGCTGGGTGATCTCCCGCACAAGGCCACCCTCCCGTGCTGTCCCACCGCTGTGCTGTCTACGGGACATTTACAGCTCTCCAGGATCTAACCCAGACGTTCGTCTCCACTCTTCCTCCCTCCACCACGGGCTCTATCCACACAGGGCCTCACATTCCCTAAGTATAGCCTCACGCGGCGTCAGCGTCAACCTACATTCACTTGTTTATTGTAAGTTTGGTGATGGCCTTAGCCGCGACCTACAGAATAGTCTCGATTTTTTATTTCTCTGCTAAAGAAAAGAGCTCTGTTTTATCTGCCTGCACCATTCCCCCTGGTGAAGTCTATTTTTGGTCTCCTGTGGCCTGCAGTAACTTCTCAAGGTAGAGTCTAAAGTCACCACCGCTTTCTTCATCACTATCTTACTTCTAACCTCTTCCTTAATATTCTTTTCAAGTGTATTATCTCCTTTGGAAGTTCTGTATTATACTGGTTAACACAAAAGTCGATAAAATATTTCGGATTCATGGGTCAGCTCCACTCACCAAAGGTTCAGCCATTACAACTTCAATTTTCTTTTCCGCTTGAATAGCGAATTCCGCGAAGAGGCTCTTGATGACATATTCGCCGGGCTTGACGTCTGGGTCCACGGTGATGTTGGACATGATGCTGTTCTGTTTCCCCCGGGGGGAGAGGAAGTTGGAAGAAGGGCAGCACTTACTCACTTTGCTGGCTGCTGCTGAAGCTAAAGGTAAAAGAAACAAATTCCACTTGAATAACCAATTCCGTGAGGCTGAGTGGAGCCACCTTACTGGATATGCACCCTGTCCCTAACTCCCACCCAGACCCCAGCGCCCACCACCCCATGCCCCTCACCACACCTGGCGTCCTGCGACAGAGTGCTAGCACGGCTGTAAGCCAGTCCGAGGTCAGGCTGATTACGTACTGCTTCTCTCCCCACCCTCCACTGTGAATCCCGTAAGGAGGCGGGTTCCTTTGCTATACATGGGTGAATCCAGAGCCTAAAACAAGGCCTGGCGTGTGTTAGTTGAACAGTAAGTACTGGGTCGTCAGAAAACTCATGATGCATTTTTTCTGGTTTTCGATACAAAGATGTGTCATGACTTTTCCGATGATCCAACAGCTACTGAATAAATGAGTGGGTTCTAGTCAGAAAGGCAAGTGCAATGAAGGGAACTGCAGATGTGAATAAACAAAACGGAGAAGGAATTAGGGAAGGGAAAGGCACTGCTTTGGAAAGCACGCTCAGTGAAGGCCTCACTAGTTGAGGCCTAAATGATGAACAAGAGGCAGCAAGGCCGAGCACTGGGGACGAAAGCACAAGGATGAACCTGCACGTTCAGAAACAGGACGGCCAGTGGCTGGAAGCCGGGAAGCAGGGGAGGAGGGCAGCGTGAGATAGGGTCAGTCATTAGTCAGGAATGTCAGGGAGGATCCTTTAGAACACTGGGCGGAAATTAGACTTCATTCCCACTGCAATTAAGATTCAGAGGGAAGTATTATGCGGAGGGCCAGGATCTTTCTCCTATAAAACTCTGGCTTCTCCTCACCATGGGTTGGAGAAGGGCAAATGCAGGACCAGGGAGGCCGTTACAGAAACCCAGGTCAGACTGTCACAGGTCGGCCAAGAACACGGCCATGAGCAAGGACCGCAGGACGGGACTGGGGACTTGTCCTACGTGATTGGAGCAGACGCTGGAGCGAGGCAGTGGGATCAGCGATGACTCGCAGGACTTTATCTGAATCACTCAAAGGACAGCAATGCCTCAGACGGAGAGGACGAAGTGATGGCAGAGAGAAGCTGCCCCAGGCGTGGCACGGGGGAGCACACACCTCCGCACGCTGGACCCTTCACCTGCTCTGCTCCCCTGGCTGCTCGGGCAGCCTGCCTGGCTTCTCACTCAGGATCCACCCAGTCACCTCCACCTCTGCCTTCCAGCCTGATGTGCACCGCAGACATCCCCTTCACAATCTAAGTCCAGCTCCAATGCCTCCTGCACGCTGAGGATTCATGGAGAATCCATGACTTTGTGCTTTTCTACCTCGACCCGCTTTCCAGATGCTGCCTCTTCCATACGCTGCCCTATAAATAATCACCTTTCTGGAACCAGCAGTTGGTGTAACAGCTATGTCGCTGGACTCCCATGTAGTCAACTGAGGTTCGAGTCCCAGACCCGGTGGCTTAAACTCACGCCGGGCACGTGTGCGTGTGTGCCCAAGATCCCAAGAGGAGAATGGAGGAGAAGGGATTGTGGCATGGCCATCCCCCCGGGGGTGATTTCCCGCCTTTTCTCTCTCTTTCTGGCGAGCACACGTGCCCTGAAGCAAAAACCTCTCAAAAAAAAAAAAAAAAAATCAATTGCCCTCCTTGAAAGGGAAACAAGACTCATCATTCAAATTTCTGTGTATCTGTGTTTATAACTGATGGGCTAAAATGTTAAGTTCTAAGTACATAAACTCAAAACTTACAATGAATTGATCTGTCAAATTAAAAAACTGACTCTTCCAGATCTAATATGCCAAAATACATTCATTTGTAAAAATAACCTAAAAAACATTTAGAACTTTATTTATGTAAAACGTTACATATTTTGAAATATTTTTATGTATTTTAAATGTATATTTTAAATATTTTATATTTATATTGAAAAATTTTAAAAAATGTCTGTTAAGTTAAAGTACATTGTGTATTCTATTCTAGAACTAAATTATCTAATAAAAACAATTTAAAACAAAAATCCACAGTCTTTTGAGCACAGCACACACTACCATAAACAGTAACTTGCCTGCCCACTGTGTTTCGTGGCCCAGCATTGTGTACTATTAGGGGAGAATCTGCTAGCAAATGTCATTATGAAAACAGGAGGTAATCTTACACTTTTTGGAAATTATTTTTCATCACTTGGAGTATTATAATTGGACTTAGGTGGTATATGTACCCGGTATCTTTTCCATTAGTTAAAACTCATAAGAACATAGCAGTTACAAAGTCTCTCTGGCATTATCTTTAAATGGAACTAAAGAAGAGCCTTATAACAAACCAAAGTTCTTGAACTCTAAATGCTGATAAGCGAAAAACTTGATACGTGACATGTTAGCCTATAAATTCTTAAAACAGGTATTTTTAGTTAAAATGACCTCTTAAATAACTTCCCTTTACTTTGACTTCCTCAAAAATTAAGCATAAACAAATACTCCTGTAATTGCATACTTGAAAAAATCTGCCAAAAACGTAAAAAGGTTTAGGAAAACCTTATTGCTGTGTTATTTTCCAAAATAAAAGTATTTTTATTTTGAAAACTCAAAATTTGATGAAAAACAAATGCTTGATCAAGTACATTGAAATAATTTATTTCCACTGTTTTTCTTAACAGATATTTAATAAATATTTCTTGACTCTGTTCATCCCAAGAGGAGAATGGAGGAGAAGAGGATGCAGCGTGGCCATCCTCCAAGGGTAATTTCTCATTTTTCTCTGTCTCTCCAGCAAATGCAACCCTATAGCAAAAATCACTCAAATGAATAAATAAATAAATAAATAAATAAATAAATAAATAAATAACAACAAATAGATCTACTATTGAACCTTCAGATCCCAAAATCTTATCTTGATAATATAAGATTAAAATAAATTTTCATAAGCTAATATATAGGATGCCTTACAAACATTAGAAATGACATTACAGAGGGACCAGAAGTTAGCGTAATGGTTATGTCGCTGGACTCCTATGTAGTCGACTGCGGTTCGAGTCCAGGACCCGGTGGCTTAAACTCATGCAGGGCGCATGTGCGTGCATGCCCAGGATCACGAGAGGAGAATGGAGGAGAAAGGATTGCAGCATGGCCATCCCCCCTGGGGGGTGATTTCTCGCTTTCTGTCTCTCTTTCTCTGTCTTTCTGGCGAGCGCATGCGCCTTATAACAAAACAAAAAGAACAAAAAAACAAAAAACACAAAAACAAAATAAACCTCTCCAAAAAAATAAATAAATAAAAGGAGAAAGAATATTTGCCTTGGGGTCAGCAAGTGGTGTAGAGGTTAAAGATACTGAATTCCCACATGGCCAACACCAGTTCAAGTCCCGGACTTGGTGGCTTGCTTTCTCAGTTTCCCTCTCTCTGGTTAAAATAAAATAAATAAATGAATAATTAAAATAAATAATTCTGTAAAAAAAAAAAAAAAGAATAACTGTTTCAAAAATTAAATTATTGGGAACCAGCAGTTAGCGTAATGGCTATGTCGCTGGACTCCCACGTAGTCGACCGCAGTTCACGTCCCAGACCCGGTGGCTTAAAACTCACACCGGGCGCGTGTGCGTGCGTGCCCAAGATCCCGAGAGGAGAATGGAGGAGAAGGGATTGCGGCGTGACCATACCCCCTGGGGAGTGATTTCTCGCTTTCTGTCTCTATGTCTCTCTCTGTCTGTCTGGCGAGCGCATGCGCCCTACAGTGAAAATCTCTCCAAAAAAAAAAAAATTAAATTATTTTGGTTGTGCCTTCCAATTTATCTCCATAAATAGGGCTAAAAAGAAAAAGAAACGCTTCTCCACTTTTTTTTTTAATAATTATTTTAACTTTATTTATTATTATTTTCCAATTTGACCAGAGAGAGAGCAGGAAAGTGAGAAAGGAAGCCACCAGGTCCAGGACTTGAACCATGGTTGGCCATGTGAAAATTCAGTGCCTTTAACCACCACGCCACCTGCCAGTCCCTGCTCCCACATTCATTAGATATGCATTTACTTGTAGTGCTTTTTTATTCTTTTTAATTTTTTTCCACTTTTAAGTGTCATCCAACTGGAACTTATGTGAGCTACTGAAATGAGATAAATATTTTATTTTTTCCCAATATTTAATCAACTCTTATGGATTCACATGCTGAAATTCTATCACTAATTTTATTCACATTATAAACTAAATTCAGGCTCCAAATATGCTTTCTGGCTTCCATCCTGCTCATTAACGATCTGTTTTTGTGTCAGAACCATACTTTCAATCACTGTAGCTTTGTAACAGAGTATCATCTGTGGACACAAATACTCCTGATCACTCGCCACCGTTAGCTATTATAACTCACGCAGATTTCCAAGCTTATGCAGGTCTTCACCAATTAATTTCAAGCAAACTGGCATCTTTACAGTCCTAAGAGCCCTCGTCTATACCTAGCAGGCTCTCCACTAACTCTTCTTCTGTGTACCAAAGAAAACTGCACCCTTTCCTTCATAGATGGCCTACCTAGTTTTTATCAGTTCTATTCCTCAATATTTCTATTTTGTGTGAAGGAAATAATTTTTCCCCACTGTTGTGATTCAATTTCAATGGTTAGAAAAATTAAGACCTGTGCTTGGCCTTTGGACTGCTGTCCCTGAAATGCTTATTTATCCTAATCTAAACTATTCCCATTGATAACTCTTCTAAACACAGAAGCCTACGACGTGTTTGGTGTAGTCCTGAGTTTTTCACTCAAAGCCCTAGTTTTCCACTACAGAAATACTGATTATACAGCTCAAGAAAAAGTATCCATCATCGAAACGACCCACCGTTCACTCAGCTAGACTCTCCCTGTGGCTCTTCCTGGACTCCTTCCATAGCCTTCGGAAGCCCTGCTGAGCCACCGAACTAAAAACTGGTCTTTAAAACGTGCATGGACCTTAGAGGCGAAGATTCGGGGCCACATTTGACTTGGCCACTTACCATTACGTTCTTGGTCAAATTATTTATCCTC